TACAAAACTGAGTTCTTAAAAATATTGTTACACACGCAACAATGTTGCAGGTGATAACCTCCCTGGGCTTGAAGATACAGATCTGACCGAACAACCGCAGTCAGACGCTGATGAAGTGGAGAGTACGCAGGACAAGGGCAGGAACATGGAGGAGGTAACATTAACAACACACAATATACTCAATTCCACTTGGAGGTCTGGTCAGCTTCATGCTCTGACAGTTTTACCCTGGGGGAAACAACTCTCCATCAGACTGGATGGGAGGCTGGGTTTGCCCCAGAAATGGTCAAGACACAGTGACATAAATACAGAAATGATCTTCCATAATCTGTCAAATCAAGGGTTTGCTCGTCTGTTAATATACATCTAGCCACATTTCTGAGAAATTTCATCACACCAATTGTTTGTTATTATTTCATTGCTATTGTCCGTAATTCCGAGATGACGTTTACAATTTTACGATAAAGTTCTGTGTGTATCTTTACTGGAGTCTGCAGTGGCTGCGCGGTCTGAGGCGTGGGCCTTGTGTCGCTTGGTCGCTGTGACCGCGGGTTTAAATCCCACTCAAGCCATGGATGGTGTCCTGTGTATGGGTAGAGGCCTTGCGACGGGCCGATCCCTCATCCAAGGAGTCCTACAGAATGTCTTTAGATCAAGCTAACGAAACGTTGGGACCCGCAGTGCTCAGGCACTTGAAGAAGGGTCGTCCCAGTATCCAGTGTATCTTTCCTTCTCTTTTTGATGTCCCACATATTTAACTAATTTTGTCTCTAAATTTCATTTTCACACATTGAATTGTTGTATCACAGACAATGTGATTTACTTCTTCCATTTATTTATTACTTAGAGTGAGTGTTGATTTTGCAGGGCGTTTTCCTATTGAAAGGCATAACTTCTATCTTATATTCCTATATTGTTAAATTGTAACAGCTTGTTCACGTACTTCCATCTTTGTTTTATCAACTACCACATCCTGTTTGCCGAAAGAACAAAACCATTCAACCAAACGCCATTAAGATTTAAATACAGTGAAAAATGCTTTCTTTAACTTATCTAATTAACTGATTCCAATGTTTTATTCTTTTTGCTGCATAGAGTTCAGAGGACATTCAATTAAGAAATGCAGAACAGAAATTAATTGAATCACAGCAAAATCTGTATAGAGGCGAATATGAAGTGGAACAGGATTCTAGTAACTACAAGGAAAAGGAACTGATAAAGAACGGGGCTGCAGAGGAAGAATGGAAAGAAATTAATAAGGAAGAGGACCACCCTGACTTGAGGTTTGTTTTGCATCTAACCCCAATCCTTTTCACCTCCTATATAATATAATCCAAATCTTAAATATTTTTTCCTAAGTAATTCCATGGCACAGTTTTACTTTAAAGATCAAAACTCATCTGGTCAAGAAACTCCTTGTGATCATGCATTGCAAAGTTTCATCAATGTATTCACAAAAGTCCGTAACTTGATTTAATCCTGAATTAATTTATTGAAGTTAACGTCTTCATACCACATCCAAGTTTCTTTTAAAATCATCATCTCTCAAGTATTATCTCCATGTTTCGATTTTCAAATTAAACGTTTGTATGCATTTCTTGTTTTCTGCACATGCGCCACGCGTCTCCTCCTTCTGGATTACAGACCCTAGTAAAATTAGATCACAAATTGATCAGTGAAGATCTACTTAATGTCAATTTCTCTGTTACTTCATCCTACCCAGATGTGTGTTCTTGAACACCAACAATTTTCCCTTGCTAAGTTAGACATCCGCCAAAACCAAAGAGAAAATAATAATTTTATTGTGCCTAATTTGTACTTTTATTAGCACATGATAACATAAAGATTTGGAAAACTGTATGATAGCAGGCATGTTTAAAATTAAATCTGTCCTCAACTACACAGTGCTTAGATCCTTTTAATTATTAATGTCATCCCCAAGTTCTTAAATTGTCCCACTGCTAATATGAGAAACCATCATAGGGCAAAATCCCGAGACAGTTCCGCCTACCTCCTATCTCACCAACTTACTTTCTCAAGGTCAATCTTAATGGTACCTTCCCAGCTTCCAAGTGGCTATCTTCAAAGTGGTTTACCCATCAAATTCTGTGTGCATTTATTATTTCTCCACCACAGCCCCATAAATTTCACTACACTTCCAGGGTTACACAATATAAAAGTCACAATGTTCTGCATTAGTCCAATGTCCAAATTTTCCCACTCCCTCACTGTTTCGTCCTGAGCACTTTATTTTCAAACACTGATAATTTACATTCTTCCCACACGGTACGACACAAAACCACAAAACTGTTTGGTTAACCATAATTTCTTCCAGCTTAGGATGGTTTTTATATCTCTAATCCAGGGTACCAGGCCTTAGAAAAAATGTAGCGGACATTTTAATTATGATCTTAAGATTAAATTAGATGTTTGCGTCATCTGGATCTCAATATGTAGACACAGGTTCTATCCCACGGCAGTACATGTGGAAGGGACAGGAGGTTATGTTCCAACCATGTCTGTTCCCCCTAATATCAATTTTATTATCCTCACCTTGTATATGCCTAGGTCTCTAAGGTTATCTGTTCCACACAACATTTATATGTTTTTCCTGTTCTTCATGTGTGTGCAGCGAATTACAAAATGCTCTGAACGAAAAACGAGAGAGGGAATACACAGATAACTTCCTGAACGACAAAAATTACCTCCTCAAGAAGTCGGAAGTCACAAAGCTTGAGAAACAGGTATGCCACAACAAGAAATAAATATACAAAGTCCATTTGGTGATATTTCTCTTTGCATTCGAAGAATGCGATTTCTCTGTCTCTCCTGATATTTGTTATATGTCACTTTACGAAGCTTCGAAACTCATTTCTTCTTTACACCTTCCTGCGTCCCTCACAGTTATTTCTAGCTCTGTTCTGCAAGCTTGTCCCGACAAAACTGTGTATGTCTTTTGTAGTCTCTCACCTTAATTACACGAGGAGCGCATTGTAAGCACGTTGACGCGATTATACTGAAACTGCGAGACCTTTATAAATTGTAAATTTCCTTACTTTATTACATCTTCTATTCTGTACTTTATTCCTCACTGCTTCAAGTATATTACTAGACACATTGTTCCGACACTTACATGTCCTCATCTTGCCACAGTTCACAGGCAAAATTATAAATTTCTTCAAAAGGTTTGGGCATACTGATTAAACAATACATACTTATTTTGGTGGTGGGGTCAGGTGGTAGACCTGAAGGCATTCAATGCACTGAAATTCCTGAATACTCGCCACAGTTGAGTCACAACCCTAATTCCACATCATTTAAATTTACTATGAGACTGGTAATTTAAACACTCTCCATATACGTGTAAAGTTAGAACGCACTGAATGTTCCAAGCAACATCTATTATTAACTTTTATGTAAAGGGTAAACGAGACGTTGCGTTGCCAGTGAGGCTATATAACACACCATGAAGACAAATGGGGGGACCGGAGGTAAGCTCCACACATTCTCAAACATCACAGGTGAGGTGTCCCTTCCATACACTGGACACTTTATCTCAGGAAAGTTGCATCTGGTATCAACTGGACAAGATGGTGGATTACATACTCAAAAAACACATGTCCAGTCTCTTCTGAAGTGTTTTATTTAATACATTCAGTGCCGTAAGGCATGAGCTGATCTAAAATGCAAAATATATTAAGTACTTACACACCTGATGTTCATTTTCAATGTAAAGGAGGAGAATCTGACAGAAGAGGATGAAACCAAATATTCATCTCCAACAGCTGAAGGAAGGAAGAGACGATGGACTAATCTGTTCAAGATAAAAAGCTGGAAAATATGGAAGAGAAAGGAGAAAAATTCCAAACACCCTTCAACGGATACTGAAATGACGGCTACTAAATCAGAAGAGTTACGTCTGTTCATGAAGGCTGAAAAAGATTATTCGAAGAATGACTGAATCTCTGGAATGTTGTGCTGCGAGTCTAGTTAAAGTTCGTACTGACATCTCAAAGGAGCTTAGTGCCTCCATCATCAGGGTGATGAATAAGCTGTGGATAAAAAATTGGGTTCAGATATTGGAACAGGTTGGGTGGATCAAGGCTGTCCTCAGGAGTTCTTCCATGGTGTGGAGAATTCCCCAGCTGTCTTTTGAGCGAAATGGCCAGATGTTGAAAGAAGTGGCTGGGGAGGGCGGGCAGAGAACTGATGGCCTCCTGCTAAGTGACGTGGAGAAGGCTCTCAGTTCTCTGCCAGAATCATAAGCTGAGGAAGTCTAACAGGGGACTGCTGGAACTCTGAAGGCCACCAGTAAGCCCAAGCTTAACCTGTACAGAGCCAAGTTTCTACATTTATCGACCATTTTCCTTCCATATCCCAACCATTTACTATCCTGATGATGGAGACAGTAAGCATCTTTGAAACATCAGTGAATTTTGACCAGACTACATCGTACAACATCCCAGAAACCATTCATCTAACTCAGTGGTTCTGAACCTTTTCTTATTTACACATCAGTAAAGAGAAGTGTCAGTTTGTGAGGACTAACTTCTGCATATTTTACAGAAAAAATATTAGTCATAAAATTAAATTATTAGTAGCATGTTAAAATATGTTTATTTTCAACCAGCTGACCTTGTGGGAGGAATATATGTGAAGTAATTTGAATAAGCACTGTGTTGTCAATGTTGGCATTACTGTTCCTTAATCCTGATACAGGCTGAGAGTGAGCTAAGTTATCACAAATGTCCCATACTCTCAGGTCAGTGTATGCATTAAGGAATTAACAGAAATCGTAATTGGCTTACCTAATATGACCTGTGTGCTCGTTCCCTCAACCAAATGTTATCCAGGCAAGGCTCAATGTTGTTTAACAGGACACGAAGTGAAGTTCGAATATCCACGCTGTTTTGGCTTCTACTACGTTGTGAGCATTGCATTTGTTATGTTATAGGGTACAAGGAGCAGATACTAGCTTCCTGTCACTTTCTCACTCTCTGGTCCAAACACACTCGATCTATTTTCCTAACTTTCGTGAGCGAGAAGAATTTACAAACCCACACACGTAAAGGCTGAAATTATAGGTTAGTTTCGTACGCTTTTATAATCTGCTAGTAAATTCATTCCAAGGTAATTTATTTTAAATGAAAATTCTGTAATTGTCTGGACACACGATACAGTTCTGCGGGGTAGAGGATCGGCCCACCGCAGAACTCCACACCATTACAAAACTTTAAAATTTAGACACGTGGACAAACGTATAAGAATTCGAAATGATAAATCCACGCTGGACCACGTGCATCAGGGTACGAAGCATAAAACCGTGAAGTCACTTAGAACAGAATAATAATAATAATAATAATTCAATTCATTTATTAAAGTGCTCGACAACAGCCAAACCAGAGTACAGGATAAAATATAATAAATAATTAATTCATTTCAATAATAATAAAAGTAAAACATTACAAATACGAAAACAAACAAATGAAACTAAATATAAAAATGTATCATATTAGTAAATAATAATAATTCAATTCAATTCCCTTATTGAGAGATGATTGAAAAGAAAATGTGCTAATTAATATGCAAAAGTAATATAATAATTCAATTCATTAATACTAAAAGAACAATAAACATTAAAAGCTAGACAAAACTTTTAAGATTAAATACCATAAAATATGGTCAAAATGAAGAATTTTGAATAATAATTCAATTCAATTCCTTTATTAAAGTGAGGCCAGTAACAGCCAAGCACTAACAACAATACAAAAGCAAACAATCAATGAACTGAAAACATAATATTGTATGATTATTGCAAAAGACTAAATGTTATAGATGATTAAAATAATAATTAAACTAAAAACTGTTTGTAAGACCTGCGTGGAATCCAAAGTTGGACACATTCACACTTTTTTGTAATTCGCCTGCTCAATGGATTTTCTTCAATCAAACTCAGATATTGCCAAGGCCTACCCGAAAATGACTCGACGTTGCGGTTGCAGTGACGTCGATAGCGGTGTCCTGCATCCACTCAGTTTGGACGTCGAACTTCGACTTCCTGTCCTCTAACTTTTCTCGCATGATCACTTTAATTGCAACGTTGGGTATTCGCTAGCTTTCTAAAGGGAAAACGCCGCGACCTCTAAGAGCCCATGAGTCAAAATGACACGTGCAGGATTAGGCAGGCGAGCCAGGAACTGAACTCTGTTCCACGTGGGAACAAAGCACGTGCATCTGATACAGGCATAGTCTGTACAAAAATAGGTCGAAACACTAGAAATTATGAGTGAAATGCGTTGCCATTGAATTTCAGCAGGTCTTTCCTGTTAGACAAAAATCACGTTAGAAAGTAACCATGAGAGTTGTTGGTTAGCAATTCCTTTTGTATCTCAATTTTGTTTCCTTAAATGTGTGATGTTATTCTTCTTCTTCTATGGCGCGACAGCCCGACGTCGAGCCTTGCCCTCCTTAAGGGTTCGAAACTTGTAAGCTGTTATTATACAGTAACTTTTCGCTCGTTATTAGATGTTGTGAGTATCCATTGCTATTTAAAATTGCTCAAATTTTATTTCTATTCTCTCTGTCGAAAGCTTTTTCATGACCAACGAGGAGAAGGTAAATTGGCAAGTTGTATTATCGTCTTTTTTCTGTTATTAATTCAGTTGCAAACATTCTATCCTTCCCGATAGTCTCTAGTATAATATTTTTGCGTAAGTTTTGTATCCTGCATTGAATTAAACAGAACTGGAAAGATTTTCAGAATTTAGAAATGGAAAGATTTTCAGGATCTCAGGGGAAGTTTAAGGAAAATTACTAAAATACTCTAAAGTTTAGTGTCTAAACGATTAAAGTTTAGAACGGTGAGTTATAAACTGCTATTAAATAAAGGAAATGCCTAAAGAACCAAGACAAAAGGGCGGCTGTGGAAATATTAGTACGAAATGCGAGCAGAAATCAAGGGACCAGGAAGTCAGTACATTAGAACGTGATGATATTCATGGTAGAAAATTTTTAAAATTTTGCTGCTGTTTGGCACAAATATTATTTTTGATTTAATCTTCTTGTGATTTTTTTTGAAGCAAGTGAACTTTGAAGTGAACTTTCTAGATTTCTTCTTTTCTAATACTTGTTCTAATACTATTATTCAAAAAGACAAATTTCGTATTCAATGTTCGTCGAGGTCTTGGTCTTCTTGCCCGTCGCCTTTAGGTGTCAGAGGAGCGTCGGACTTGGCCTCAATCCCCTGTCCGTCCTCCTCCACCAACTGATGCTTGCGTTTGTGGATGTAGTCGCCTACATTCGGAAGTCGCTCGACCACGCAGGCCGACACACCATCTCTAAGTGGAGTCGTCATGTCTGCAAGCTTTTCCCTGCAGTTGTGAAAATAATCAAGGTTATGCATTATCTAAAGCTCAAAACCAATTTCATCGCACATAAAGACGGAACCACAGAAGATACCAAGCCCTTCGAGACAAGACAAAACTTATCAAGGCCTTTATACTCGCCCTTAAGTATTCTTCTTTTAAATTTACGTCCCCTACGACTAAGGCCAGTGCTATTATGCACAGATATTCAACAATCTTCTTCCAAAATGCGTTTTTGAGGTTCTAAGATGTCTGCGGTGTCGAATAATTGGGACTCGACGGGGTTGCTCTGGATTGCGTCAGAAGAGACGCCCAAGCCCTCTAGTTTTGTCCCAGTCAACCTCCAACTGAAATTCCCCCGTACGACGGTTTTTGCAAACCCTCCAATTTCTTCGAGAGATCGAACGAGCCCACGTGATCGTTAGTTCACTCACAGAAACATAGGAGCCGGGCGAACAGTTGACGAGAAGGAACGCGTGTCATTACATCGCGACCGGAAGGCGGGTTAAGACTGCGAGATGCCGTGTCCTGCCGGGGCCAGACGAGGCTCTGCGCGGCGCAAATGAACCCCCATCAAATACAAAGAACTCGGGACGGATACAAAATGTCGCTAAATCTCAGGCTTGCAAGTGGCCGGATATCGAGATTATTATGGCGGCCCCGAAAGGGTGTCCCTGTTCAAAGAAGCTTCGACTGTGGTCCGCTTTGCCTTACTCAGCCATCTGCCCGCTCTCCCTGCAACTCACAAGCCCCGCCCGCGTTTCGCGGGGCTTAATACTTGCAGCCGGGATGATGGAAGCCTCAAGCGCCTCTGAAACGTCGGAAAATTTCTAAGAGCCCACAAGGCCAAAATACTCCGTAGGACTCGTCCCCTTGATCTAAACTCATTCTTGTTTCACAAGTTGTAGTTTGTGAAAAGATCCTAAACTAACAAACAAACCATTCATGTCTCCCGCCGTCGAAACGCTCAACTTGGCGAATGGGCGTTTTGTCGTGAATACCACCGAAGGCGTAGATGGCGTCGTTAATCACTTGAAGCACGAAGTTGCCACGTGGGTACGAGAGGTTGGGGATCTCGGTCCACGTGTCCATTTCTGGGTCGTATTTCTCGCCGCTGCTCGTAGAGCGAGACTCTTCGCAAAATCCTCCTGCGGGTACAATGCTCTGTGTTAGGTCTGCAGAACGAAAGGTGTTCCAGGTCCTTGCCGATAATTATTTCTCCCTTAACCGGTCAAGGAATATCTAGCCTTCAACGGAACTACAATGTTCATTACCGTGTTCACAAAATCCCATCATTCGACCGTTCTCACGTAACGTATTTTTTCTAAAATCACTTTTAATATTATCCTCCTATTTGCGCGATCTCTTCCCTTAAGGATTTCAGATTAATATTTCGCATTTCTCGTATATTCCATGCGTGCTACACACTCAGCCCACCTCATCGCATTGTTTTATGCTCCGAAATATGAAATTCGGTCCTCGTAATGAATGAATGAACGAAACATAAAATGTCTGAAGCCACGTGAGTGAGAGACGAGACAAATTCGCTCCTTTTTGCAATGTTCATGTTTGCATCGGCAACAAATCAGGAATAAAGTGGCTTCGAAGGAGCACGTTTTCTCGTCCTTATCGCCCGATTAGTGAACAGTGGAATTTATGTAGTTCATTTATACAGAACGCCATTACATGAAGATTGTCCTGAACTACGCGGTGTCTCGGAAGCCACGTTCAATGTGCGTATTAGATTACAGTTACGCACGAAGGTTATAGTTTTATAGTCGAGAAATGTGTTGAAAGCATTCCGAGCCCAGGCGTACACAACGGAATCCATTTCAACACGTTCTCAGGCAATCTGACGACTGACGAGTGACTCCGTCGAATTTCCAAAATGATTTTGTACCGCAGAACTTGCCACGCCCGCTAACTGCTACATATGACTACGTCCGAAAACACTGTTCAACAATAAACACATTGCATTGTTGAAAACGTAATTCGTTGCATAAACCGAATAATAAAGAGCGCGGGATTCAAACAACGCGGGCTCTGTAGGGTGACGGGGCCAGTGTTGCCACAGAGCAAAATGAAATTTCTCTCCCACGCTCGACAAAACACGTGACTATTGAGGCACGCTATAATAGAAATACAACAACAGATTACGCGTTGTTGTTGTTGTTAGAGAGCTTTGTGGAGAAAGTCGTCGAAACCACGAACCACAAATCACGTAAAAAGAGGTTAAAATTGTTGACACACCAATTCCGTAAAAGCAGGAGACAAATTCTGCTCACGAAGTCGCAGATTCTTACCTACGGCGTACACACTGCCCTGGAAGGCGACGCAACACAGGCCGCTGCGTTTGGAATGCATCGGGGAAATCTTCGTCCATTCGTTCTTCTGTGGGTCAAACACCTCCGCTGAGGCCCGATACGTGCCATCGAATCCGCCAACGACGTAGACTTTACCTGCAAAGAGGGACCAGCGACATGACACATATGGCGCCACATATTTCAGATGTGCTGAGTTATCGTACGTAGTACAGATGTGGGACAATTCGTAGTAATTAGCCTGTAGAAGGAAATGATTTCAGCAGGCGAAACGAGCATCAAGTGTAAAAGGCCGGCAGACAATTTCATTCTGTCGCTCGCTTCTCACTTGCGATCAGAATTAATTAAAATGGAGGTAAATTACAGGAATACGTTCAGGACTTAGACCTATTTCTATAAATAGTTCCTCTTGGTCTGTTATTGAATCTTAGTGCGCTCTATAACCTGCAGCTGTAACTGGATTCTGTCTCTCAGTTATGACAGCTTCGCCGTTTTACATTAATCGATGCTGTTCTGTTTCGCGAGATTCGATTTACCATTGAGTGCAGTCGCACTTGCGTGGGTTCGGTCGGTGTTCAGAGAAGCGATCCTCGCCCACTTGTTCGTCCTGTGGTCGTATCGCTCGGCCGAATTAAGTCGACCACCGTCATTGCAGCCGCCAATAGCGTACACCAAATCCCCGAGCACCGCCACACTGAAGTCCGCTCTGAAACAAAAGAGTACAGGCGTTGATATGCTTCACGCTCATTTGTTACTGACACAAACAAGTTCACTTTCGCAGAAATTCACTCTGCATTCTCTGTCGTAGCAAGAAAATCGTAAAACCTGGGGAATCTAACTAACTAACTAACTAACTAGATGGCTTACCGAACCCGAAGGTTCATCACCG